GGTCCTAACCACTAGACGATCACGGCTACGTTGGGTTGTTGAAATGTACCAGCCAAAAAACCATTTTCAAGAGAATGCTCAAAATTAGTTGTGCATTGTTTCAATAGTTGATTGATTTCATCTGCTTAACGAGTCATAGATGGCGACAGTAACAATTTAAATACCATTATTTTTTATTTTAAAATTATGATTAAAGGAATGTTGTGGTTGTGGGAAAACAATTATTTAGACTTTCCTGATGTGAATATATTTTACGCTCTTCACGGCCGAGTTTCTTTCATTTCTTCATATTTTAGTACATGCACACGTTTTAGCTTTTATTATCTATTAAACTACAAAACCCGACTTTATCTGATAGACTTGGGGCATTAAAATTGTTTAAGGAATTATGGTTTATTGTATTGGTGCATAACGCTCATTGAAATCTATGGAGATAAGGCTTAAAAACAAAAAGAAAACTCGACTCCGTGACAATGCGCTTTGAAGCATTGCCGTGACCAGGATTCGAACCTGGGTTACCACGGCCACAACGTGGGGTCCTAACCACTAGACGATCACGGCTACGTCGGGTGTTAGAAGTTTACGGTCAAAACCCTGTTTTCACAAGAGTGGCCCTGAAATCAAAACGAAATCACTGAACTCAAAGCGATATATGTACAATGTGGCACTGAAACAAGGGATTAATTTACAAATTATCCAAATTTATTTATCAACATGACAACAAAAAGCAATAGTGTAAGCGTCTTTGGGCGCTACGGCTGAGGCTGTCTGGCTCTTACGATTCCCTTGTTGGTCACTTTGTTGGCATTGGGAGTGTGCGCTGCGGTTGGTCGTGATATTGGTACTGAATTTGACAGATTTCGCTCGTTGCGCTGTCTAAGACGCTCCCGAAATTGGTGTCGGAGCGTATTAGTTTGGGTGTTTAGTGCAAAATTCATGTCTGGCAACTGATAGGTGGCCAACAGAAAGTTACAACGTACACGCTCCCTGGCTATGCGCTTGATAAGCGCCTGCATCTCGTCGTCAGCTATCAGTTTGGAAATGGCGTCCACTACATTTGCCTGAAGTGGCGGCTCGTCTGTGTGTAATTTGGGCGCCTTATTGGCTCGACGGGTTTCTTCATCTTCCAATGCAATGGTCTCGAACTGTAGGTCTGCGGGACTCATGCGAAGGGTTTGGTGCTGGCTCTTTCGCGACCTTTGGCGGCCTCCTGGCCCTTTGGCATTGCATTTGTCGTTGTCTGCTCCTGTGCCAGGCGATGTCCCTGTTTTATCCGAGGACGAAGGCGAAGCGTCGTTTTCCAAGGAAGCCGGTTTGACCTTTCTGGGAGTAGTTTCATTTACTGCGTATGTTTTCGATGCGCCAGATGGCGGCAGACTCTCAGAACGCTCGGGCGCGTCGACGACGGAATTATCCTCATCGTCGGAATCTGTTATTTCAATTGAATTGTACATTTCATTTTTGTTTTTCAGCGAGAGCAAAAAATAAATATTTAGACCAGCGTGACCGCGAAATTATCGATAAAATATACCGTCAGGGCCTCGAAAATATACCCAAATATACTTTTTCATTTTCAAAATATGCCGTAAAATATACCGAAGTCTTACATCAGATTCCTCGACTTTGATCTTCTATTTGATATTGCTAGCTATTTAGGAGTCTCAGCGCTAAAACTATAATGTTATCAGATGTATCAATAAATTCTCCACAAGATTGGTACATGATTGGATACTTGTTGTTTTCTTCCATTGCATAAGGAAGGTTTTTATGTGTATCAACAAAAAACGTTGCATGCAATTACTAGTCCATTCATATGTACTAATTTAATATTCATACAAATGCAATCAACTGCACTTGAACTTCAAAATTTAAAGTTTAAATGTACAAAACAATCAATAAATTGTTGGTCGATAACGTTTCGTTTTTGGCCGCCGTAATTCAACAACCCGACGTAGCCGTGATCGTCTAGTGGTTAGGACCCCACGTTGTGGCCGTGGTAACCCAGGTTCGAATCCTGGTCACGGCAATGCTTCAATGCGCATTGTCACGGAGTCGAGTTTTCTTTTTTTCTCGTGTACAAACCGATGAACTGTCAAATGAGAACCCTGAGCAATTTCGTTCATTTATAAAATAGTTTACATACTTAATTTAATACTTATACAATTTTTTAAAATTTTTTTTGGCAAAAGTGAATAATGGACTCGGGCTTTACGAATAGTCACTCCGAATCCGATGTATGCTATGACAAGGAAAAATTTTCCAGAGATGAAGAGAACATGGAAAAATTTTATGCAACCATAGGGAATATATCCAGAAACATGCGGAAAGGGGATTGGACATATTTACAACGACATCCGGAAATACGAGCCATAATACGTACAATAATAACGGAGGCCATTGAGAAGAAGCCAAACGACATTTTTCAATTTACAGCTAATCTATTTCAGTGCAAAAATGAACCAGTATTAGTGCGAAAGGTTGGTCATTTATTTATGTGCTTTTTAAATAATTTGAAATAACATCGGACTGTTTACAAGATTAACAAGCAACTGAGATTGGTTAACAAGCAGCTGAGGGGCGGACAGTGGTCTCCCGCTGATGGGGAAATTGTATTTTCCGAGACCAGTGATGTTTTCACAGAAGTGAAATCCGAATGCAAGCCCAACTTGACGCAAACAGTTGTTAATGTGCAACCAAACGAATCCGTGGGTCCAGAAAACTTTAAGCCAGTTTGTCCTGTAAATTTGGAACCCAAATGCTAACATTCCTCTGTTTCTGTTATCGCAAATTTTTGCATTGGAAAGGTGTTTCCATAATTAAACAATATAATGCTGAGTTGAAAACTGTGGTCAAGTGTGTTTAAATTTAAATGTCTCAATTTTTGTTTTCCTTATGGAAAATATTAACCAGTGGCAGAAATATCTCCTAAGTTCCTAAATTCAGGTTTGTGGGTCTTGGGGGTCTAGTAGTTGAAACATCAGGTCGCTTTACAGCACTAGTTGTCTATCAACATTAAAACGTTTTCCAGTACTAGAGGTGCGCTGCTCCAACGTGCCACTTCGCAAGCTCCCCATTTTTTGCCATCCCCAACGAACACAAGCCCCAAAGCAGATTGATAAAATTACCATCGGACAATTATTTTTGCACAATACCTGAGTGTTTTAAGGGCTTAGACTGCAGTGCAAGTGCTAATTGGTGGAGGAGTACTTTCGCCGTCATACGCAAATAAAATAAATGATAAGCAAGGAATCTCTTATTACAGAAACTGGTAAAGTTATTCGGAAAGTTCGCAGGTGGAGCGCAGCCATTTTTTCAGGTGAGTGTGACGCAATGAACGACAAGCGAATCCGCTACTTTCGCCCTTTGTTGTGCTACGCGTATTCGCCCCCATACAGAAATTATAAATTACACCGATTTTATAGGATTTATATGTAGATAGTTCTTGTATAATACATATACATATGTATAAATACAAACAGGCTGGTGTTCTCAGATCTCTTTATTACAACATCGCGTCAAATTAATTATTAAGCAACATGGCGCCTTGCAACAAAAGTCACAACAACAAAATCGGCCGGCCGGCGAGTGCCAAAACGAAAGCAAAAGGAAGCCAGGAAAAACATTTGAACGCCGGCTTTGAAACGCACAAGTTGTGTGTGGTGTCAGGGGACTGTTTGTTCGTGGATAAATTTGACTCAACGGAGCAGATATTATTTAAAATAAGTCAGAAACATGCTGCCACAAGACAGAAAAATTTTGAGGTGACATATTATCCCGAAAATGTGAATGAGGTATATATTTTCAGAAATACAATTTCTTGCAGGCAACATACACGCCAGAACCAAAATTCGAATCAAATAGCGGCTTCGAGGCGCGTCGGTGGAAAGAGCGGCACCGCAAACAGATCCAACAACAACCATCAGTCGAAGATGAACACCAATTCAAAGGCGGATCCCATCTCGCTGAGCTTCCACGACTCGTGTCTTCGCATGTCCGACGTGCATCTGCTGCGTGGACCACACTGGCTGAACGACCAGATTATAAGCTTCTACTACGAGTACCTGACGCACGTGAAGTACAAGAAGAACAATGATATCACGTTCATAGCTCCGGAGGTGACCCAGTGCATGAAGTACATGGATGACCAGGAGCTGGAGCAACTCATGGACCAGAACAACGGCACCAAGAAGCCATTTATATTCTTCGCCATGAACGACAACAGAAGTTTTGAGGCCGGTGGTACGCACTGGTCGCTGCTGGTATTCTCGCGTCCGGAGAAAACCTTCTATCACTTTGATTCATATGGAAACAACAATACAAGCAACTCCGTGGAGTTGATGAACAAGGTGAAGGAAGCTATGGACGTGCGTTCGGCCAAGTTCCGACCAACGCGCTGCCTGCAACAGGCCAATGGCTACGATTGCGGCATACACGTCATTTGCATGACGGACCACATTGCCGACTACCTTAATAGGTATGAGGTAATGGATGGCCTACCGCCACTGCAGGTGGACTCCGTTAAAGCCAAACGCACGGAGCTACTGAAGCTGATCATGTCGCTGGGCGGCAAGGGCTAGATCTCGTTCATTTCCTTTCATTTTTAGTTTTTAAATAACAAATATCAATGCTGTAAATGTTGCATTTACACAATACCCCTCCAAGCACACATACATACACTCACTCACTCACATACACACACATACAGACTGAAAGAGACTGAAAAAGTTGCGCAAACATGTGAATACGATACGATACCGATACGATACGATACCCAACCCATGAGTTAATGTTAATTATTTTGATTTAACTCCACGAAGACATTTAGAAAATATTTTTGTGGAAACCAGTGCTAGGCACGGAGGTGAAATAACACACTGCACATAAAGAGGTGAACTCGATTTGTTTTAAAAGGATTACAAAAAATAAAGATTTGTTTACGCGCAAGCGATATTGGATCAAATTCAACAGTGTCGTGTTTATCTGCATTATCTGTCATCTTGTGTTGCAATTATTTATTATACATAAATGCATCATAGAAACATATGGAGAATGCACGGCCTTCCAGACCGTGCACGAGACCATAGAGTACACAATAATTATTAATGATTAAAAACATCTATAAAATAGGTAAAACCACATCAAAAACTGATATAAGGAGGCACTGAAGTACACCATACAATTAATACACTTCGCAGGTTCAATATACTGACGACACCGCCAGGCGGGAGGGTTTAAGTGTGTTACAGAGGAGTGAGGTGAGGGTGGGACAGGATTGTCCCCCATCTACTAACTAGGCTTCTGCTCTAGGTGAGAGCAAGGTGACTTCACACCATAATTTGGGGTCGCGCCCAGCCACCGAAGGCTCGCTCCAGCTCCTCCGCCACAGCCAGGCAGAGCCGATCCTCGTTAAAGTTGGCAATGACCTGGACGCCCAGGGGCAAACCCTCACTGCCCAGTTTTCCCAACGGAACAGCCGTTGCTGGAAAGCCAAGAACATTCACGATGCCTGTGTAGGCAAAGTTAATGGGCCGCATTATGGGCTCATTATGATAGGGCGCCACGGTGGGGTGTGTAGGATAGATCAGGACTCCATTGTCGGCAAGGAGACGCTGCAGCTCGGCCCGCAAATCGTTCCGCTTGCGAACCATGTGTTCATATTTTGGCGAGCCGTGCTTGCACTGAGCACTGTCCATGATGGCCGTTGTCAGGCCAATGAACGTGTGCTTGGAGGCTCCAAACAGCCATTTGAAGAGCTCCCAATACGTGTTGATGTCATGCTCCAAATTGCCCAACTGGAAGGCGAAGCCGTGGCCGCTGTCGTCCCGCATATTTGCAAACCAAATGGCCGCAGACTGGCGAAACTCCGGCAGCTGTATGCGCTCAACCTGCTTGCTGCCAAACTTTTCGTTCAGGTGCTGCACAACTCGTTGCATGGCCTGCGGAGGAGAGATTATTTGATGGTTTATCAGAATATTGAATGAGAATTATAAACTATACCTGTCGTAGATCAGCGTCTACGGAAGACACTAGGCGGCCACCGCCATCTGATTCTTGATAGAAGAACTTCATCTTGCTTAGATTTACTTCCTTGTCGAGATTCAACTGTTCGGCCTTCTCTCCAGACATTATTCTTAGCATGGGTCGCAGGTCCTCCGCAAAGCGCGACATTGGCCCCAGGCCCAGGAAGGAGTTCTGCTCTTCACTGAAGGGCGCCGGGAACTGGCCCACATTGGACACCACCAGCTTGCTTGGCTTATGTCCGAAGATACCATTGAAAAAGGCCGGCATGCGAATAGAGCCACCAATATCAGAGCCAAGGCCAAAGGCCGAGGCAGCCGCAGACTGTATACAGCCTTCACCGCCACTGGAGCCGCCGACAATGCGATTTGTGTCGTAAGCATTTCGCGTCCGTCCATGCACCGTGTTGTTGCTCTCCCACCACATGCAAACCTCGGAGACGTTGGTCAGGGCAATGGGAATGGCGCCCGCCTTGCGCATCAAGGCCATGGCATCGGCATCCTTGGATGCGCGCACCTCTCGCCTATCATACAAGCCCGCCGTATGGAGCATGCCTAGAGGAGAGGTAATCAGAGGTAATTAGAACTGTTTTATTTCAGTTGTAGGTTAACTTAGATCTCACCTTTCACCGAAATGCAGTCTTTTGTTGTGATGGGTACACCCAGAAAGGGTTTCTGCTTCGCCAATTCCTCCACAGTGTACTGGCCGGACTTGATGAGCTTATCTGCATCCGCTGCCTCCTGAAGAGCCTGGTCGTATCGCTCGTCCACAACACAATTCAGTATGGGATTCACCTCCTTGATGCGGCGTATGAACGACTCCAATACCTGAACGCTGCTGAGCTATGAGATGACATGCGAGGTTTCAGTACTGATCGGTGATGAAGGTATTTAAATATGTCAAGTCTACTCACTTCCTGGTTGCGTATCTTTCTTGCAAGCGACGAGGCCGATTCAAGTAGAATGGGGTCCCTTATGGGAGGCATGCTCTCGCCCTTGGCTCCATAGATCAGGCGGAAAACGAATCGAACGCAGGCTTGCAGTAACCCAAAGATATAGGAACCAACGAAGCTCGACAAAGGCACGTTCTGCGCCATCTTGCGTTGGTGGAATGTAGACCCTAACATACTTATTTATTTACTGGGAATGCCCAATGATCGCGTCTTTTGCGTGGTTCTGGCCCATGTAGTGTTGATCTGGAAGATTTTGACAAGTGAGTAACATTTAAAATGGGTGTTAATATTTTGTGGAGAATAAAATGTGTCAACCGGATTGAAATGGTTCATCAGCAATGTTCTGTAAATATGTACATATGGTAAATAAGTAATTACGGGGAAAACAAGCTAATGGTTCCCAATTATACTATAAAACACTATATTTTGAATCATTTCAACATAGTTTATTGAGCTGACACTTCTGCTGCTTGCTTCTTGTCTAATATCTGGGTCTAATATGGGCAATCGATTCGGGTGCCGTGCGTGCCCAACAATACGACTATAATTTGATAGTTTTGGCCGAGCCACGTCTCCATCGTTGGAGCTCGCTGACTCACATCTACCGTACGATGTCGTTTGAGACCTTTGCACTCCAGAATACTGTACACACAAACCGCATCAAGGAAACCAACGGAAAATGAAATAGTTTACAGAAAAAATTCATATGTATTTTTCATTTTCTTCTCATTTCTTCATTCTCTTTTCCCAGGGATATCGAAAATGTTACTGGGAAAACAGTCAACATCCATCGCATGATGATAGTGATTAAGGGTTTTTGTTATTCCCATATGTTTCCACAGACGTGAATTAATATCTTATCAGTCGAATTAGCTTGGGGACGGCATATATAGAGTGTTCAGAGGAGTAAAGAACCGCCAATAGTCCATATACCGGTGCCCATAAAGTTGAAATATTTTGTTTAAACACTGCGGCTACACACTTATCGGCATTCAGTGGTCTGAGAACAGAAAAAATGTATACCAAAATGAGTCATGGAACAGGGTCAAAGCCGCTTGCTCAGACGCGATAAATGTAATAATTTGCAATAAAGCAACTAAAGTGTACAGCAACAGACTGTGATTACCAGGAATTCAAAGTTCCTACTGCTTATCGCATTTGTTAGTGGATGTACAGAGCGGAGCGGAGCCATTCATTGGGATATTGGGACGCTTATTGCATTTTCAGACATTCGAATGGCCACTGTAATGTGCTAAATTTGTCCACTTTGTGGCCTGTGAATCGGGGACGTGGGGAGGGTATCAATCACATCACGCATCCATTCGGTCAAAGTTCGATGTTTTGGCGGGCAGTGATGCAGAACGATAATCGCACAATAGCATGAGTTTAAGTGGACAATCTGGATAAGATAAGCTATAAATGATTTCACAAATGACAGGCGACAAAGGCTGCTGGGCACAGCAGCCCCACAGAAACCTTCTATTCTGATTTACTAATACGAGCACGACCTGTTGCTGGCTTCTTGCAAATTTCCAAGCATATTCATATGTATGCAGATATATGTATATGTATAATATGTATAATATACACAGATCTGTGTATCTGAGTATGTGAGGTTGTACAATTGGTGGTGAAGGAAACACCCGCATTCATGCGTATGTATGAAGGATTGCCTCTGGGAATGACATCATTTCTCATGCCATATCTTTTGTTCGGATTACGAATTCATCAAGCGTAATTTTCCGAGTGTTCTTTTTTTGAGCGCGGGCAACAACACAAACGAAAGTATGGGCTGACGTCACAGGAACCAAAAACTATTCAGACAGATTACAATTCAAACGTATAATTGCTGTTCACATTTGATCAAAGATGCACTCAACACAATTGTCTTACGTTTTATGTTACATTGGAACCGGTTCACAGCAAAAGCAGTTAGCAATGAATGCCGTGTGCGGCATGTGCAAACACAATTAACTTCGCAGTTGAACAAATGCACCAAAAAGATAAAGTATACACAGATACACACTGCGCACTATTGCGCGTAGATTAGTAGACAAATCAAACACCGTAAATTACCAGCGAAGAACAAGCAATGTGGCTCCGTGTAGTATTTCCTTGGTTACACTACCGGAGGGGAAGACTGTTTTGTTTTGTTCAGTTACACGGCTAACATTTATTTAAACTGCAGCGAATTTTAAAGCTCCGTCGCTGCTCGTGACAAAAACAAACAACAATCGATGTTCCACTAGTGCTGAAAGCCCAGCGATATTCGGAACAGCGTTGTCGCTTGTCGATATATCGGTATTTTCGTGCGATGAGCTGAGCATATCGGCGTTTGTAAACATGCAACAGCTGTTTATACCTGAAATTAATTGTGATTTTGCGATTCCAAGCCATTCAGCTCAATATGACCGACTTACCGCACAAATCATCTACCAGCAACACGCTGCTTGGGCCGCCACAGACAGTGCCTTTACCGAGAGCCTCTGCCGGCCTTCAACTGCCCACCACAATGCCCCAAAAGCTGAACTCCAATTCCGGTAGCTCGGGCTCAGCGACAGGGAACCCGCGGAACAAATGTGCTCTAAAGCCAGGCTACTCACTGATGAGCTGGATACGGCTGTGCAATTCTGGAGCAGACCTCTCGGGGACTAATGGACGGGTGGTTCCTGTTACCAGAAGCGAGTTGGCCCAGCACAACAAGGTTACTGATGCTTGGATGGCCATTCGCGGCAGGGTGTTCAATGTAACTCGATACATGGATTTTCATCCAGGCGGAGTGGATGAGCTACTGCGTGGAGTTGGCCGAGATGCTACAGCATTGTTCGACGAAGTCCATGCCTGGGTAAACTATCCACAGCTGCTGGGAAAATGCTACATAGGACCATTAAAGGAGAATGCCGCTGGGCCACTGACGGCGGCTGATCCTCTTACGATAGAAACACGCGAATCAAAACCGGTGGAGATTGTTCCACGCTTCGATTGGATACAGCAAAGAAGCGAAGTAACCCTATTCTTCTATACTCGAAGCTTCTCCAATCCCGGATTGTTTGTGAGAAGGAAAGATCCGCAGCAGCTGGTGGCGCGTGTTTTGTTGGAGAACAGCGGGCACACGTTTGACTTTCAGTTGGCTGGCAAGGTGGAGTGGCCACCGAAGGCCGTGCGAGTCGGCGCTGAGACTGGAAAGATTGAACTGGTCTTGGCTAAGGAAGAGCCAGCTCCATGGACTTCTTACGGCACGCACACGTCTAGTAAACTTTACTTACAAGAGGAAACGTATGAATACGAGGTGTTAGACGCTAACGATTTCAACCACGACTCTTTTGAGCTGAGTTTACAGAGCGTTCAGAAGGAGGTACTAATGGTCCTACCAGTGGGCTATCATTTAAACATACAAGTCCCTGTGAATGGGGATGTCATCCAGCGAAGCTATACGCCAGTCGATCACAATTATTTGCCATCCGAAACGAACTCCCTGGCGAGTTCTGTGTGCTTGCACTTTCTGATTAAGCGATATACTAACGGGCCTGTCTCAAGTTACTTACATCGACTGCAACCAGGCTCTCGGGTCCATTTAAGCTCGCCTCGCGGCGGTTTCATGCTCTCCGAACTAACCGCGAATAGAAACATTATTCTACTGGCAGCTGGAAGCGGTCTTACACCTATTTTAAGTCTGATACCCCATCTACTAAAGCGGAACACAAATCGCATGTGAGTTGCCAAGGATCTCCTACACAGTCCGCACACTAACAAATTATATTTGATCTACAGCGAATCCCTGCACCTGTTTTACTTTAACAAAACTGAAGCGGACATCTGGCTGAGGGAGAAACTGCAGAATCTGCAAACCCAGGACGAGCGCTTTAACTGCACCCACATACTGTCGCAGGCGGAGGAGCAGCCGCAACGAATATCGTCCGAACTGCTGGCTCCCCTGTTCAAGGAAAAGCAGCCGGATAGGTGTACTTATGCGGCGATTTGTGGACCCAGCCCCTTCAACACTGCTGCCGTCGATGTACTGAAGAGTCTGAATGTAATGCCGAATCAGATGCATGTCTTTCGCGGTTAAAAAGATGCACCTAATCGTTTGGGCTGGATTAATTTTCATTCATTTTATTTGCTATGCAGCAAATAATTCTGATTTAGTTTTTTTTTGTGATTTTTACATGTTTTTGTTTCAATAATTTAATAAGTTTAACAAATACTAGAAAATGTTTGTTGGATTTGTTTTGTTTTGCTCGTTGCCAGGCAAATCATCGTTCTGTTCGGTTCTTGTCGTCGCAACCATCTTCTCTCAGTTATGCCATCACACACATTTTGCTAATGTAATATTGTAAATTGTATATAAAGAACAACCAAAAAAGTAACCAGGTGGAGGGCGAACAGGGCATACAGAAAATAAAGAGAAACAGGAGCCACATAGGATAAATAGAGAATATACTATATCGGATGCAAATGGGATAACACTGGCTTTCAATTTCATCGCAAGACCTTGGATAGCACATCGTAGCACATCATTTACGACTCGACTCGACGGTAAATCATTTTCCTTAGCTGGCGACCCCTTAAGTAGACATCCGTGTGTTTGTGTGTGTGGTGTAGCGTGTATTTACTGTGGTGCTTTATGTGAATGCGGGTAGCCTCCCTCCATCTTATTAACTTAGTTTAGTAGGAGCGGATCGCTGGCGGCACCGTTGACACTTCGTTGTCCAGCGTGGTATCGATTACGTTTCTGTAATCCAACTGAACATCTCCGTTGTCGTTGCACACCCAGGAGAGTGTATGCTTGCGCCAGTGCTTCTCAAAGGGCACCTTCTCCTGTCCCTCGACGGGTTTGCTGTAATCCTGGAAGAGAGAATATCCGATAAGACCCAGTGCTTACTTGTGTCAGCATCGAATCCACTTACATATTCGTCCAGTCTGATCTTGAAGTCTTCGCGGGCATGAGCACCACGTGACTCCTTGCGTGCCTCGGCTCCCACAATGGTCATTTGGGCATTAGCCAACAGATTCTGCAGCTCCAGCGTCTCGACCAGATCCGAGTTCCAGATCAGGGACCTGAGGACCAGAGTTCATATAGCATTAATTACGGACCGAAACATGATCAAAGTATTATTGCACTCACTTGTCCACAACCTTGACATCCTTGAATTGCTTATAGATTTCCTGCATTTTGCTGACGCCCTCCTTGAGGATGGGCCCGTCACGGAACACAGCAGCATGATGCTGCATGGTCTTCTGCATCTTTAGACGCAGATCGGCAGTGGTTATCTGGCCATTGGCAAAGCGCAGCTTGTCCAGGTTAGCCACAGAGGCCTCTCCAGCATTATCCTTGAGCGTAGGAGCGGGTGCACCGGGCTTATTCTCCTCGGCAATGGTCTTGGCGCAGGCACGTCCGAAAACAACCAGATCCAGCAGAGAGTTGGCACCCAGACGATTAGCACCGTGAACGGAGCTGGAGGCTGCCTCACCGGCAGCGTACAGGCCGGGGACTATGATATCCTTGCCGTCCTTATCAACGGTGATAACCTGACCGCGATAGTTCGTTGGCACACCACCCATGTTGTAGTGCACCGTGGGTAATACGGGGATTGGTTCGCGGGTTACATCAACGCCGGCGAAAATCATGGCTGTCTCTGAGATGCCGGGCAGTCGCTCGGCCAGCTGCTTAGGTGGCAAATGGTGCAGCTGCAGATACACGTGATCCTTGTCGGGGCCAACACCACGACCCTCCATGATTTCGATGGTCATTGAACGCGACACGACGTCCCGGGAGGCAAGATCCTTGGCCACAGGAGCATACCGCTCCATGAAACGCTCGCCATTGGCATTGATCAGGTAGCCACCCTCGCCGCGGCAACCCTCGGTAATGAGGCAGCCGGCTCCATAGATTCCAGTGGGATGGAACTGGACAAATTCCAAGTCCTGGGAGGGGAGACCCTGTCGAGCGACCATGGCAGTGCCGTCGCCAGTGCAGGTGTGGGCAGATGTACAGGAGAAAAAGGCACGTCCATAGCCACCAGTGGCAATGACGGTGTTCTGGGCACGGAAACGATGCAGAGTACCATCCTCTAGGTTAAGAGCCAGCACGCCTCTGCACTCGCCATCCTCGAAGATCAGATCCAGGGCAAAGTACTCCACGAAGTAGTTGCAGTCGTAACTCAGCGACTGACCATAGAGGGTGTGCAGCAGGGAGTGTCCAGTACGATCCGCCACAGCACAACATCTGTGCGCCTGTCCGCCCTTGCCGAATTGCAAGCTCTGGCCACCAAAGGCGCGCTGGTAGATCTTTCCGTCTTGTGTGCGGGAGAAGGGCATGCCGTAGTTCTCGAGCTCGATGACAGCCTTGGGTGCCTCCCGAGTCATGTAGTGTATAGCATCCTGATCGCCCAGCCAGTCGGATCCCTTGACTGTGTCGTACATGTGCCACTTCCAGTCGTCCTCCTCCATATTACCCAGCGCTGCATTGATGCCGCCCTGAGCGGCAATCGTGTGCGACCTGGTGGGGAACAATTTGGTGATCACGGCCGTGCGGAATCCTTCGGCCACTAGGCCAAAGGCTGCCCGCAGACCAGCACCGCCTGCTCCCACCACAATTGCATCGTAGGCATGATCCACCACAGGGTACTGCTTCGATATCTTATCCGGATTGGCTGCCGAAGCCTGCTGCCGGCCGTGAGTTATGTGATAACTGCGCTGCCCTGCAATCGCAGCAACGCGCTGCTAAATGAGAGAAAGAGAAAGAGATCATTAGTTGACTGCTGTTTACGAGGGAATTATTTTAAAGGACGTGATGAGACAGGATAGAATTTGGTCATTCAGGAATAAGGTTTTCATTGAGTCAGTCTTTGCACAACAATATTTAAACAGAGTTTTTGCTAATACATGCAGTTACGTAAACGCGTTAGACAGCATAATCTTTCGATTCTACAGAAGCACCATTGCTAAGGAGTTATATCTTATCTGCATTGTGAGGCTAATAGGCCCCATGCAGACGGAAAAGTATATACGTAGATGCACGGAAAATATCTACATCGATAAGATGCATTAGTTTTGTTTTGGCAAAACGTTCGCTAATTATCGACAACTTGACAGATAAGATGAGAGCCGCACACGCCATGGCCCGTGCCATCGCTAAGGAATATTCCCAAGCTGAGACGCTGGTGACGTCGACACTCTCGGATGCTCAAAAAGCGTCAAGTCTCGCAGGTGAATACATAGAGTGACTGTTGCTTATGCAATAGATAAATTAAACAGTTGTAGAGACATCAGTAGCAGTGGCCAGTCCCATTGTATAATCAGCTGGATTGTTAGCCGCGGCCGTGCCTCCCTGTTTGTCTGGACTTTCCTGTCGCTGAATGAAATTTGTCGAGCTTATCAGCTGTCAATCCGACAGCAATGACTCGCGGCCGCACACAATTTTGCAATTGCTTTTAATTTTTGGGGGCATTTGTTGCACGCACAGTCATTCGAGCCGACCGACAAAACACGAAAGCATCGACAGCGGGGGCGGGGCAGGTAACATAACCTCCTCGCCCCTTACACACAACATTTTCCACTGAAATCTTGGAAAATGCTCATAGTGGGGGGCGAAAAGTTAACATTTTCTCCCTTGGACGTTAATTATTCGCCGAGTGGGGCCATCAACAGCACCTGGCCATCAAAATTTAACGAAATTACATAACAACTACAAGGGGCGCGTTTTTTTGGTAAACTTCTTGGCATTTGCACTTCACGTCACGCGCACATAAAATACCTTCTCTCGTTGTATAATCGTCACTAACAAGATGGACAGACGGGCACCGTTGTGGAGCTTGATGCAATGCGGTTCTGGGGCTACCTACCATGGAGGTGACTGCATTTTTGGCCAAAATCGATGGCACACGCATGATTCTGGACATGGTTGCGTCTGGGCTTTTTAGGTGGCTAGTGTTGTCTAGGTTCTGCAAAAGATTGGCACTTTAGTCGGAATTTTGTAAGTGCGCGTCGATTTGTTGTTTCTTAAAATATTTTGTAAAAAGCAATAAAAATGAAAGGAAAAGTTTACATTTAAATATTTTGAGCCGCTCGTCGGTACCAGTGTGACCGCGGAAATATCGATAGAATATACCTTCAGACCCTCAAATATATATCAAAATATGACTTCTCATTTTAAAAATATACAGGAAATATACCGTAGTCTTAAATCATGTTCCTAAATTTTGATGTTCTATTTCATATTACTAGTTAGTTAGGAGTCTCAGCGCCATAACTATAATTTAATCGGATTTATCAATCAATTCTCCATACCATTACATACTGATATACTGTAAATACACATCATGAAAAGCATATAATACATTCGCTCCCATACGCATACGCAACATACCATAATGGTCAGCCTGGTCGGCACCGTCGCTCATGAACGGAGCTGCGTGAAGAAAATAAGCTGGTTCTCTGATCAGGTGATCTGAACAAGCTCAGTTTAACTTATTCTTTAATACCTTTGCACTCAACTTAAATGTACGTATGTGTGTATGCGTGGGTACGAAAATGCGTGCAAAAGAAGACAGTAAACATATATATGTACGTATATCCGAAAGTTAAAAATATCAAGGTGCAAATGGCAATTTCATTCCACCCCCCTGTAGTTCAATGAACTGTTTACATTCCAATTGTGTGACCAGGCTTTTACATTGAAGAACAGCTGATTTATTGTTTCATATATTGTTTGTTGGGTAAAAACATACTGATACAAATATTTATAAAAATAGAGAATATTCCGTTTTGGGCCATGTTGAAATGCACTTTCATTGAGATTCATGGAAATCATACATTATTTTGGAGGCGTCCTCTTGCCGCAGCGCTTCGCGAATTCATCCTGAGTGTCATCCGATAAATGATTTATTGCCATTTTCCAAGTTACTTCGCCGCTATCATATTTGCGATTGTGCTCCTCCACTTTCGCCTTAGCCTTCTCGTAGAGATCCCGTCGCATAAGATCCTCCTCTGCCTCGTAGCTCTTGTTGAATTTGGCCTGAATCAATGAACAGAATAACGTATTTAGACTATTGCGTTGCAAATAATTGGCTTCCTAAAATATACTTTGTAGTCGGCCCACTCTGCATCTGTTACGAGAGACATATTGGCACTATATATATATATATATTTCTGACAATCAATTCTTATTATTTTGATACTGAGGGCGGGTTTTTTCTGAGTCACAAAATCCAAACAAAGAATATTATCAGTATGGCTCAGGCTGTTGTTTTTGTGATTTGGACCTCTAGAAATATACCATATTATTTTGCAAAAAAATACCGTAAATATACCGAGAAGATCGAACTTAACCCACTCAATCCCTCTCTTTTTAAACTGGTGAACACCATAATACTGTTTGTAAATTAATTGTGATTCAACCTGATCCAATTGGACAATTTAAT